GCTTTGAGGGCCCCAAAAAGCGCTATATAAATGCAATCCATTATTATTATTATTAGATTCAAAACATAAATGTTGTACATATTTTTAATTTACATAATCTATACCACATGTGTTATTTGGGTAACCTGAGATATAAAACAAGGATTCGGGGTATCTGCAGGTCTGAAAGTTCTTAAAAATGTCAATCTTCAAACACTAGAAGTTTCTGGAAAGTCTTAAATTTTCTGCAGCTCCCTGTTTTTTGGTGGAAACCTCATCGATCTGTGTGATTTCAGCCAAACCTTTCTTTAGACCTGAGGGCAAAAACTGCACCTAATACTCATAGACAGCCAGATTTTAGTGGTCTAGTCAGACATTCACTCACAAAGCCAGAAATATTGATTATATTATTGTGATAAAAGCAAATCCACATTTTTTTGGGGTTTTTATTACAACCACCGTCATGCTTTGGGGCGTGTTTGGGGTTTCTTTGTGGCCTTTCATGATCAACACCATGTGACTGACGGTTTACTTCATTATACAATCCTTGTGATTGGACAGCACACAACAGACACTCCAAAGACACAGACTGCAATTACCTGACTTCCATTATTTCAGTAAAAACAATGCTTTTATGCCATTTCTGTTTATACTGGGGAGCCTGCTTGTTAGTACTGCCAAACCTATCACTTCTCAGACACCCAGTGTCACCATTAAAGCCCTGTGGTTCAGACACATCAGTGAATTAATGAATTCAGTGGGGTAAGAAATTATCTCCAGAATCAGAAGTCATGAGTCTGACTCTTCCTTGTGGCTGGTTATTTATTCACAAATGTCATTTTCATCTCTCAAGCAAAAGTGTTTTGTTTCTATCATTTTGTTCAAATTGGTAAAATTGTAAGACAAAACCTCCTGTGTCCAAATCAAGCCCCACAGGCCAAATCTGGCCTTCTGGAATTTTAATCCAGCTCACATATCTCTCTAGGTTCTTGATCAATTTCAGCCTTTCTAGTTGTAGTTGCACAGCAGCATGCGCCCCATCCAAACTAAACAGAGAAGTACACACCTGCAAGTAAAACTAACAAAAGGCTCAGCCTGATAGGGATCAAATTGTTTTAGATCTACTATTTCTCCTGACTAAATGTTTTAAAGCCTAATTCATGGACTGGTTAATGGTTACATATTGAACAAAAGGTTGTGTGCAGCATACAAGTTCAAATAGTAGCTAAATGTTCAATTAAATTGGCTACACTTGGCTTTAAAATGCACCTTGATCAGTCAGTTCAGTGCCATAAGTGTAAATGTTGCGATTCAGTCACTGGTGGTCTGGGATACATTTGGCCTCACACATTTTACTGTGTAAAAGCAAAAGTTTTACAATGTGTCCCCAGCAAAGACATAACAGGAAAATATTTTATCAATAGGGGACTTTATTTGGTCCTTTTTGCAAATTGCAAGTGTGTGTCATTCCAGTCTAAACAGTTGGAAAAGCCTTCTTGAAACATTTTAGGGTTTTTTTGTGCCAATGCTTCTGGAACAAATCTGGTGCTTTATTGGCAACAGATGGCTGTGTGAGGCTTTCTGCCTTTCTAGAGGAGGTGAGGTAGACAGTAATGATTTCTGAACACCTTGGATGCATATGGTAGACACTGGTATTAATACCAGTGGCCCTCAGCTGTCCTCTCATGATCTGATTGGCCAAGGTGTGTGTGTGTGTGTGTGTGTGTGTGTGTCTTTTAGGTTAGTTTAGTTTTGTTTGTGTTCTTTGTAGAGGTTCTTGTCCAGCTACATTAACTGAGATTACACCTGCAACTGCTAGCAAGTATGAGAAATGGGTCTTTGTAAATTCACTTACCTCCAAATAATTGTTTAGTTTTTTTTTCCAGCCAAAACCTTTCAGCCATTTTGACACTTAAAGTTAAAGGAGCTTGCAAAGAAAAGCGTCTGGACTTCTTTAAGTTACTTGAAGACGTTTCACCTCTCATCCGAGAGGCTTCTTCAGTTCTAAGGTCAAATGGTGGAGAGTCCCAGATATAAACCTGGTGGGAGTTTCCCCCCACAGAGGGACAAAAGGACCCCCTGATGATCCTCTAATCGCCTGAGCCAAGGTGTGGAACTGGGTGTGGGTCCCAATCAGCCAGAGTTTCGGGTGAGTTCATTGTGAAACCTGGCCCCACCTTATCATGCGAATTCCTGAGGTCAGATGGCCCAGGGTGTGAGTGGGCGTTAAGGCGTCTGCGAAGGGATCTCAAAACTGGATTATAGATGGCAGAGAGTTGGTGTCGTAAACCACCGCCTCTGTTCAAAGATGGTCGCTCACAGTGGACATAGATGGCTTCTTTCACTCCTCTTTCAAACCATCTGTCCTCTCTGTCCAAAATGTGAACATTGGCATCCTCGAAAGAGTGTCCTTTATCCTTAAGATGCAGATGAACAGCTGAATCTTGTCCTGTGGAGGTGGCTCTTCTGTGTTGTGCCATGCGCTTGTGAAGTGGCTGTTTGGTCTCTCCAATGTAGAGGTCTGGGCATTCCTCGCTGCACTGTACGGCATACACCACATTGTTAAGTCTGTGTTTTGGCGTTTTGTCTTTCGGGTGAACCAGTTTTTGTCTGAGTGTGTTGCTGGGTCTGAAGTACACCGGGATGTCATGCTTGGAGAAAACCCTCCTGAGTTTCTCTGATACACCGGCTACATAGGGGATGACAATGTTGTTGCTTTAAGAATGCCCAATGGGCATTCTTAAAGTCAGCAAAGAGGCACAGAAAAGAAGATCAGACACCAGCGAGGGAGGATAAGAAGGACAGACGCAACAACATTGTCATTGTGTCATTGTGATTGGGACCCACACCCAGTTCCACACCTTGGCTCAGGCGATTAGAGGATCATCAGGGGGTCCTTTTGTCCCTCTGTGGGGGGACACTCCCACCAGGTTTATATCTGGGACTCTCCACCATTTGACCTTAGAACTGAAGAAGCCTCTCGGATGAGAGGTGAAACGTCTTCAAGTAACTTAAAGAAGTCCAGACGCTTTT